AAATTCTTAGTAAAAGCAAATTGTTGGCAATGTTGATAGATAGTTTATATATTTATATATTTTTGATTTCACTAGGAAAAATATCAAATTTATTATAACAATATTCTGAATTATATTTCCATTGTTAAAACTGATACAATTTGCTGAAATCTCATTTAATTGCTTATTAAGAAACGTACAATAACATTTATGACATTTGTAATATAAAATTAGACGTTTAAAAAAAAGCGAGAGTTGCTGATTACAGTATCACAGTATAGATAACTCGCTTTCAAAACAGTCTGGAAGAAGCATGAGATGTTTCTTTCGTAACACTATTTATTCGAATGAGAATTATGTCATTTCGGAATACCAGTTTCATTTCTACAATCGAAATAACAATTTGCGAAAGGACACCTCGCAATAATTCGTCAGACGTTCGGAAATACGTGAGTGGTGACACACAGAGATCATCGCCGCAGGTGGAATTCCCGCATTTCACCTGCGCGAGGATCAAGATGAATCAGCGATCGAGGTCGTTCGTCGTGATTGATGTTCGCCAAACGTTCGGCCCTTTATGGCATGCAACAGCATGGATTACGCGCTCGGAATTTTTTCTCGGACTTTTGCGTAATGCCTTTTGGTGAATCAAAGACGGATACTGACCACTCATGCGACCTCAGAACGCATCCTGGTGCGCAGCCCCGCAGCAGCAATGCCGGGAAACGAAACTGGCACAATTGCGAGCGGTGCAACCGAGTCATACTTCGCTTCCGTAAAAAGCTCGTGATTGCTGCATGAATTTCAGGAGAATATATTTTTCAGCATTTTCCATTTTTCATATAAATATATTGCAAATGAAGTTAATCGCAACGATCAGTTCAGAAAATATTTATGCCGCAGCAAATTGCAGCAATGTCGCAATTTTTCAAATTTCAAAAAAAACACTTTTATAATTCAGCGTCAAGTAAGGCAATTTCTAATCCACCCCGCCGGTCTTTGCAGATGTCGTTCGAGGAGCCGCTTGAGGTGATGGCGGTGCACATGTACGAGAAGGAGAATGCAGAAGCCCATCGTACCTTCAACTACGAGATGGTCCACCAGGATCCAGCGACTCCCGTTCTCCGACGTGGACAGGCGTTCAATTTAGCCCTGAGATTCAACCGCGAGTACGTGGACGAAACTGACATCGTTCGGCTGCTCTTCAGCTTCGGCCCGAACCCCAACGTGCTGCGAGGTACCAGAGGTGTGAGCACGATCTCCAACAGGGAGGCTTATCTGACCGATCTGGAGGCTTGGGGCGTTCGAATGATCGCCAATGACGGGGTGGATCTCTCCGTCGAGGTGAGAAGTCCGATCGACAGCCCCGTCGGAGTGTGGCAGTTGAACGTGGAGACTAATACTCTGGGCAGAAGAAAGATGCCGTACAGTTACAGCTACGACAAAGATATCTATCTTCTCTTCAATCCCTGGATGAAAGGTACACGAAAATACAAATGAATTGTGTGGAATGTCTTGTGTAAAACGGATTGTGAAGTGTTTTATCAATCATCTCCAACAGCGTCTGATTAACTTCAATAATAAATTTGATGTGAATAGAAAAAAGAAGATTCGTATTTGAATACGAAATTAATGGAATATAAAACATAAGTGTAATAATCAATGTAACAATTGCAGCATAAATTATAATATAAATATTTGTAGAATTATTTTCAGAACTTTAGTTCCGAAAATGTTTCGCGCTCGCTTTACTTCAAACTCAGATGTATCTCCATAAATACTTTCACTTTGCAATTGTTCCTATTTTTAATTATCTGCAATGTTAGAAAAATTTGATCAATTTTAAATGCGACAGAGGATTTGGTGTACATGGAGGACGACCAACTGCTCGACGAATACATTCTAAATGACGTCGGGAAGATATGGGTGGGCCCATGGGGTAGTTCCCGCGGCAGGGAATGGATCTTCGGACAGTTCGACGCGTGTGTGCTACCGGCTTGCCAATTGTTGCTCGAGAGATCCGGCATCAAGGCGATTTCCCGGGGCGACCCGGTCAAAATGACTCGAGCAATCTCGAGAATCGTAAGATCTCCACTTTACTATTCGTTTGATCTTATTCCCAATGGCAATTATACAGTCGAGTCTAATTTTAATTAAAATTACAATTACGAATAGCGTTTTTTAATTAAAATTACTTTCAAATCAAAATTGATACAATCTTTTCTCGTACGTCGCTAATATTATTATTAATATTTCTTTGCATCATTTTCAGGTAAATTCCAACGACGACAAGGGCGTGATAATCGGCCGCTGGGACGGCGAATACGACGACGGCACCGCGCCGGCCACCTGGACCGGAAGCGTGCCCATTCTGGAACAATTTTGGGAGACCGGCAACGAGGTCAAGTACGGTCAATGCTGGGTGTTCGCGGGTGTCGTCACCACGGTGTGCCGCGCCCTGGGGATTCCCTCGAGAGTCGTGTCCAACCTGGTGTCGGCCCACGACGCCAACGCCTCGCTGTCCGTCGATCGTTATTACGATCTCAATAACGAGGAGCTCGAATACGATCCGAATAATCCGATAGGCGAGGACTCCATCTGGAATTATCACGTGTGGAACGACGTGTGGATGGCGAGGCCGGATCTTCCGAAGGGCTACGGAGGCTGGCAGGCCATCGACGCCACCCCTCAGGAGCAGTCCGACAGCTTTTATCAGTGCGGACCGGCGTCGGTGGAAGCTATCAAGCAGGGCGCCGTCGGCTACAACTACGACGTGACCTTCATGGTCGCCTCCGTGAACGCGGATCTGATGCGGTGGAAGGAGGATCCCGAGAGCGAGCTGGGATACTCGAAGATCGATTGCAACAAGTATCAGTAAGTAGCAGCGGTGTTTTTATGAATATTAAGAAAAAAAATGCCTTCGTAAGGGGAGAAATTCTGAATATATAATTTTATAGCGTGAAATAAGCGATAAAAAATATGAACTAAAGTTACCAAATCTAGCCGGAAAATGAACGCGATGAAACTCTAATTAATCGAATTGGAAAATGAATGTCAAGTCTCTGTTTCGAAGAACACCTTCTCACGCGATATTTCTTTTGCGATGATTTCATTCCCTGATAATGCACTCACGCCGATCATCCGGCACGGACGAATTCGTCGCGGACGGAAATAACTATGACAGTCCGACGCGTGAAATAAAAAGTGTCAGACGAGGGGCGATGACGGATGTATTAATGACGAAAACGGAAGCGCGAGTCGCGCTGTTTGCTTTGCGATCCTGTAATTCGCAATCACGTCGCGTCCTTCGGCGCGTCATACAGTGCGAACTGTTGTGTACGCACGATTTGCATAATTTCCACGACGCTGGAGTATTTCTGCACCGGCGAATGTATAGACAATGCGAAGCGCGAGCGTAAATGACAGTCTGGTTCGAGTTTCAGTAATAAACATCGTGTATTATCTATCTAAAGATCGCGAATGACGTTATTGTTTCTCGCGCATATCTCATAGGTGTTTTCAGTAATAAAAACGTTCCTAGCTATAGTATTAATTAATAATCTATATTATGTATCAGCGATTCTTTCATCGATCATTATTTCTCGTCTTATATAAAACAATTTTAAAATAGACAACAAGAAAAAGTTGTTTAAAAAACCGCATTGCATCTTATGCACGCTGAATGAATTATCTTTGCAGCGTCGGTCGAATGATTCTAACGAAGGCGCCGTGGATCTTCGATCCTAATGGAGACAAGGATAGAGAGGACATAACATCGATTTATAAGGCCAAAGAAGGTAAATGACGATCCGTTGTTGCATGTTTTATCTTGTTTGCGGATTATATTTTGCATTAATTTCGATATCGATAATTGGAGCTTTTAGAAATTTCACGCAGGATTTGGATCGTATTTACATGACTTAGCACTAACTTTGACCTGCTTTTAGGCACTGAGGTCGAAAGATTGACCCTGTACAGAGCGGTGCGCAGCACCGAGATGGCGAAGAGATTTTACTCGCTGCCGTCACCGGGTAAAGAGGATGTGGACTTCGATCTCGTCGAATTGGAGCGCGTCAACATCGGCGAACCGTTCGCCGTAACCGTGAACATCGAAAATAAATCCGACGAAACGCGCACCATTCAAGCAATCCTGTCCGCTGGCAGTGTTTACTACACCGGAGTCAAGGCGAATTTGGTAAAGAGGGCATCCGGCGATTTTACGCTTCAACCGAACGCTGGTGAGAAGAAAATTTATTTTGTTATACTATTTAAATGCAAAAAAGTCGATTAATACCGTGAGAAAAGATTGCGCAAACGTTGGAAGTAGAGAAGAAGAGTTGCAAATTGATCAAGTAGATGAATAAGAATTTATTTCTTAATTTAGCGTGTTTGCCTTTTCAACAGTTAATAGTCATGTAATGTCGATAAGATTGAATAGACTTTTAATTTGAGGAGATAAATAAGTATGAATGTGTCTAATGCTAAAAATGAACAAAATTGATAAATATGGAATGTAAAATAAGTTAGCGGCGCTTAGTTACGCAACAGAATTGCATATAAAACGCTGTTTCAACATTGATTAATCATCATTGATTAATAATTGGCTCGGCAACATTTATTACTGTAATTTCTACGAGAAAATAACGAGAAAATTCCTCGAGTAATCAGAGAATGAGGAAAAAATTATATAGTTTTTACTGCGTTGTTATTTAGTTTCTTATTTTTTGTAATTGCAATGTGCAATTAATATCTCAAACTGTAATTTTTGTTTTAATTGATTACAGTCGAACAATTACGGCTTACGGTGACTGTGAACGATTACTTGGACAAACTGGTGGAGTATTGCATCATGAAGCTATACTGCATCGCTACGGTCAAGGAAACCCGGCAGACCTGGGCAGATGAGGACGACTTTCAGGTTTTGAAGCCAAATATCGATGTCAAGGTAATCGTTTAAAAATATTTACGATCCTTAAGCTGTATTTTTTAAATATCTCTGAATCTGGCACAAATTAATTAAGTTCACGCACAAGTGGCACATTATTCTTTTCGCAATTAGCACGCTTATCTCTTTTGCAAACGTGTATGATAAATATTGTTTATAGATTTCACAGATACGAAGATTCTAAAAATTTTTCGTTTTTGCATCAATTTTGGTATTGCAGATCGAAGATGAGCCGATGGTCGGAAAACCATCGACCATTACACTGAGTTTCAAGAATCCTTTGAAGAGAACCCTGACCAATTGTCAGTTCAATTACGCCGGACCTGGTCTCTCCAGGAACAAGACTCTGGCCTTTAGAGACGTCGGACCTGAGGAAGATGTTTATGTGGAGCATCAGCTTGTACCGCAGAAGGCTGGAGAGCAAAAGATAATCGCCACTTTTACGTCGAAGCAGCTGGTCGACATCACCGGTTGCGCAACCGTCGACGTCCTTGATGCAGAGTGAACGGCTGCAGAACCGATTCGATTTCATTTCGATCTTAATTTAAGTCTCATATCAAGGTGCATCATTTTCTACTGAATTGTCGCGAATTGTCATGTATATCTAAATAACGTAGACGTTATTTAGATATACATGACATAAATCATTCCTAGCAATGATTCTTGCAAATCTCGGTAATTTGCAGATTAATTCTGAGTATTATTTGTAATATTAATATACTGATAATATGAAAGATGAGAACCGCATGTGATGACGAAAAGAAAATATAGTTTTAGGTGCGAAGAATATATCGTCGAAGTATAGCACACATCGATACATACACGTTTGAAATAATATGAAATAAATAATTCAACATTTTTTTAAGTATATATTAAGATTTTTTTTATTATATAATTACATTACGTTTATTATTATAAGTTTTAAGAATGTATTTTTTAGAATATTTTTAGTTTACAAAAATTTACATTCATATTTTTAATACTTTTTCTCTATATTCTCTATCTTTTATCATCTATCTATCATATATTGACATTTTTTTTATTATATAAATTAAAAAATATATCTTTTATAGAATGTTTTCAGTTTGTAGAAAAAAAATTGTTCCATTATATTTTGAATATCTTTCTAATGAATATTATTTTTATTATATAAATTTTAGGAAAGTATTTCTTACAAAACTTTCCTAAATTTACAAAGAAAACATTTATATTATAACATCTACGTTTTGTTTTATGTATATTCTAATATATTCCTTATGTATTTTATATCTTATTTTATTTATTAAGTTTATTTTATTTATTTACTGTATATCTATTGTGTTAAAAATATAGTGGAAAGTTTTCTTTTACAAACTAAGAAGAAATATTTTAAAAATATATCATGTTAATAATTAAAATCAATGAAAAATGTTAGGGTCTGAATGTAACGCAAAAAAAACATAAAGATTACATGACGGAATCGCACTTAAATAATAATTGCAAACACCAAACCAGCAAAATGCATAGAACGTAGTAAACAAAAGTAGTTTCGCGTGAGACAATCGAAATTTTTTTAGTCGCCATAGGAAGCGCCAAAGCTTTGCCCCTCCTATTCATTTCAAAACTCTCATCCCACACCTCAAGTGCATATTTTTCCTGGCGCCTTTCAAATTTTCTCGACATTAAGCTTTGATATATAATGATGGCTTTATAAAGATTGCGCGCGCGTTCCGCTGTGAATTCAAAAGGCGCAATCATCTGACTAGCTATATTCTCTTCTAATTCTGACACGAGCACATCTTCGCATTGGGCGTCATTTTCCACGCCGACATAGTCTTCTAATTTTAAACTCATTTCTGTAGTTAGTGTTTTCTCGCTGTCGTTGGGACATTTATTCTCAGCGTTAATTTCGACAGATTCAGTGAACAAAGATTCATTCGTTTGAATTGGAATATCTTCTGATACCGACTTGTTTTGAATCGCGGTTGAATCAGTCTTTACTTCCATATTCGTCAAGTCTATCAAATCACAGAATACTCCCACATTCTTGTAAGTGACATCGCATACCGTTGTATTGCATCTGACGTCTACGACACTTTTGTTACGGCAAGACGATGTCTGCGTCGCGATAGTTTGCGTTGACTTGAAAATTTTTTTCGAATCGAGACTGTTTTTAGAATCAATCTTGAGATGTAAAAAGGAATTTAATTCCACCTGCGTGCTAACCGATTTATAAGATTTGTTAACAGATTGATTCGCTTCATTCAAGTTTTTATTTTTTGTAAAACGTGGATTAATTTTTCGTATTATTTTTGAGAAAGGTTTCTTATTAGGCAATGTTGAAAACTTGATTTCTTCATGATTCAACATGCCAACCATCGAACTCACAGCGTTTTCATCCACGTGTTCCTTTATATTTTTAATATTACCTTTCAGTGCTGGGATCACCTCCAAAGGTTTCATTCTTCTAATCTGGGAGGAATCGGGTTGATGCTGTTCAATGTCGTTCCGGGTTTTTGAAGATCTTGTCCGTGTGATTAATCGCGTTTGCCAATACCGCGATTCTGATTCCGACTTCGATTTTTTCGGGTTTCCATCGTTATATTTTTTCGAAACCTTTGAGTCAACTTTGTTGGCCGATTTTTTTCTTCTGGGCACTTCTTCTGTGCTTTGTAGAATCTGCTGCTGTTTCAGTTTCCTGCAATAATAAAATTATCTTGTAATTGTTATCTAAATATTTGGATATATATGTGAAAAATAATGTTTCTTACATGAGAGATTCACAGGTTTTTGTCACATGATTTATGCAAGGATCTCTATTCTCCTTCATCTCTTTAGACTGATTTGTCAACATGGATGCACTCAACTCGTTATCAAATGACCTAAAACCAATCATAAAGTATAATTTCTTTTTGTATATTCAAAATATGTATATTTATATATGTATATTTTCAGCATGTGAAAAAGAAACTCTGTAAATATCTTTTATATAAAATAGAAAATAATAAAAAAAATACATTACTCAGCATATTCAATTGATGCATATTTATTCTTCATCGGAGAAACGTATTTTCCAGTTGATCGATATGGCTTCCGCAACATTGGCTGCATCGAAGATGTCACATACATGCTTTCTATATGCGAAGAGTTTATGGCGCTAGGTGGTCTCCAAGCTTGTTGAGCTTTGACAAAAGCAAAATTTTTTTGAAGAACACCTTTCTTTCTGCTAAACATCACATCATCATTGTTTATAACCGATCTGATATCTTCGTTTCTCGAATAATCGATAAGTTTGATGAATTTCGAGTTTCTAGTTAATTGCAAATTGGGTTCACTCTGTACTTCAATTTTTTCGTTTGTTAAAGTTTCCTGTGCGCGTCTGCAATTTGTTGCGGCGTTTAGATTCATCGACACGTTTTGTTGAAACATTTGCTCTTCGATCTTAGAGCAATCTTCTGTAGGCTCTGTAGATTCTGTAGATTCCATTGATTCTGTAGGTTCTGTAGATTCTGTAGATTCCATTGATTCTGTAGGTTCTGTAGGTTCTATAGATTCTGTAAATTCTGTAGATTCTGTAGATTCTGTAGGTTCTGTAGATTTTTCTGTAGGATTTTCTGTAGGTTTCTCGAATCTAGAGGAAGGACTTTGATGAAGGACTTCAATTTTGCAATAGGAATTTGCGGAATTTTCTTCATCACCGTTCAATTGCGACTGAAGCTTATAACTAATGTTTAAGATTGTACAATTTTTAGAACAGTTGGAAATACTTTTTGAGTCATCCTGAGGATATACAGATGAACTTCTTAAAGAGCTCATTTCATCTTGAAGAGCCTGCGACTTAGACAGACTTTTGGCGCATTTTTTAGGATCGAGAGAGACATATTTAATCAAATCCCCCTGGAGGGAAACCAACAGATTTTCCGTATATTGCTTAGATTGGCAGACTGTTTCCGTTATCTTGTTATCTTGAAGAACATCAGACATACGACGTTGCTTCTCTTGCTTCAGAATTGTCTTTAGTGCTTTCATGCTTTGACTCTGTCTCACGATTTTGTTTCGCTTTTTAGAAATTCCGTTTAGTCTGCTGAAAGCCAAATTTTCTTGTAATTTCTTCAATTTTGTTGCTTCCAATATTGACAATTTTTTGTTTAATTTTATTGGTATCTTTGTCTTCCTTAGAGATGACTCTGTGTGTTTGGCAAAATGTGGTTGGATGCGCATTTTGCTTTTCTTTTCCATTAAATTCACAGAACTCTTTTCTTCTAGAAATTTTGTTGCTCCTTTGCTTGTAGACATCTCTGCTCTTTAGTTTGCACTCCCTGTATTTTATTGCAAAAAGAGAAATATTTATAATAAAGAAATAAACAATGTTGATACATGTTTCATATCATGGAGAAAAATATAATAATATATTGTTATGTCAGGTCAAATCATTGCTATCATTATCATCCAAGGTGACACACTTAGACAATCAATTTTGAGTATAACATTATAATTATACAAGATATGCACAAATTGCTCATATTTTATAGATAAAATTTTTTAATTTATTAATTTAAGTCTTTCCAAGTTTTTCGACAAATAAGTAATATTGAATTAAGAATTAAAAGCTGCGAGGATTAGCAGCACGAGTACAATAAGAAATATTGCACATTGATTATTCAAAAAGAAGTCAAAAATGTAATATTAAGGAAAGCATACACACCTAAGAATTCACCGAAGTTGCGTAAGTTAGAATTGACAAAAGGATTTCTGACCAGGTAGACAATCGTTGAAAAATTTCCAATGTTACGAAGCAGACTTGATCACATAAAAAATAAATGAATCTGCACAGATATCCTTTGAAGCTAACGGAAGTCAACTTATTTTTATGCAAGATTATGTAATTTTGCAATAGCGTAGATGGAGATTCGGAAAAACCGATTATATAGAACTAATTTTATACTGACTTTTATTTGTTTCAGCACATTATCCATCCATAAACTATTCCAGTGACGCCAGATTTGAGACGCAAACAGCAAGCAGTGTGAGAGAGGAAAGCCGCAACATGCGCAAGCTACATATAAGCTCCGTGCTTCGGCTAACTTCGGACACTAGAAAAGATCAGACGTACTATTTCTGTCTCCTTTTCACCTCCGTCTTAAAACATTTTTAGGATATCTTTAAGACACTCTAAAAACGCCTTAAAGGGACATCTTTATGACGTCTTAAAAAAGACGTTTTTTAATTTCTTTAACAATTGGCATTTTAAATTTTGCAACATAAAACATTTCAAAAATTTTAAGAGACGTTTTAATTATTTAAGTATTTTACAAGCATCCTAACACTGTCAAAAGTAGCTCAGAAGCAAAAATAAGCGTGTAAAAAGGTTACGGTTATCCGTTGGATTTTAAGAAATGTTAAACAGAAACACAATATTTTTTTTATTGAAAGTATATAAGCTATGGCAGCGCCATACTGCCCGCGATGATAATATAGAAGCTTATACAATAGTGCCATTTTTTGGTCAACTATAGCAACATAACAAAACTACTGATAAGTGCTCTTGTTATTGATTAAATTATGCAATATAATGTAAATGACTTGGTTTAAATTATTTTTTTATATTGTGCGCTGTATAGAAGATAATGATAAAACGAGGTTGATGAAATAAGCGAGAAAACTCCAAGTAGTTAAGACTGTTTTTATTAATTTGTAAATTCAGTGTTCTCAACATTTCAGAGTTCAATTCTTTTACTGCTGGGTGGGTGCTGACTGGCTCGACGAATTTGGAATCGCGCATAGAAGCACTGCGTCTACGTTTGAGTTCCTCTTGGCGTCTATTCTTTGCCTCCTTTTGCCTTTGTGCCAGCAGTTTCGCATACTCTGCTGCTTGCTCCTTGCGAGACAAGCAACGCTTCTTCTTCAGTGCCAATCTATGTCTCTTCCTCTATAAATATGACATGAAAAAACATATTTTACAATTAAAAATACATTGAATTGAAATAAATGTAAGTTTTGATATGTAATAATTACGTGATAATTATTTTTTATTTTTTAATTAATTTTCAATTAATTTTAATTTAATCATTTTCAGAATATATTTGTTGACATTTTCAAAGAAAAAGGATATACCTGCAGAACGATCGGGGTGATCAGACGTTGAATTTTCGGCGCCTTCAAACGTTCCTTCTTTCCTTCCTTTTGGACTGGTCGTTTCACTACAAACTGCCGGACATCATCCTTCTTTGAAAGATTGAAGAGCTTACGAATTTTGCTCGCTCTTTTTGGTCCCAGGCGACGTGGTACATTCATATCTGTCAATCCTGGAATTTCCTGTAACAAGTTCATGTCATGGTATTAAAACGTCATAAATCCAAAATTTTGGTAAGTTGCTCTCAGATTAAATTTTAATCTAGATTTAAGATTAAATATATATTTTTATTTAATTCAAAATTTAGAGTTATGTAATAACAAAACCCAATTTCTCTACAATTCAAGTTATTGCATTCAGTAACATTAATGCACTAGGTGTCTCGTTCGTACACTGAGAAAAAGCACAGTTAACGCTGCTATTTCCCAAATTAAAAACGAATTTTATCTTCCATGTATACGATAGTATTTCAAGACAATTGAGATTCTTGAATACACCCTGAACAACATGGGTCTCTAACCTTATTAAACACATAAAAAAGAAACACCAATAATCACTAACCGATTTTCCCTTCTTCACTATGACGAGGGCTAATACAGATAAATTAGAGTCTACAATGCAACCGCGAACGGATTTACGCTTGCGTTCTCCATCACGTCTAGGTCTGTAGCAGGAATGTCCCTTTGACAGCAATAAACGAACACGGCCTATAAACAAATAGTATAACAGTTTTTTAGGTTAATTAGGTAATGTTAAAGTAAATTTTTAACGTTCACTAAATATTGGTTGATGTATAAATTAACATATAAACAGTTGCACATTCGAAGAAAGAGTAATAAATAATGCTGAAATCTCTATCAATAACAAATTATAGACGAATGAAAAATTTAGTATATTTTTCTTCATACAAACCGTTTGTCAGAACACCCTGTTTCATGGGGAACCCTTGCTTGTCATTTCCACCAGAGACGCGGACCACATAGCCCTTCCATTCATCTCCCAGTGCATCAGCTTCTACCTCAGCACCCATGCGCTTTTCGTAGAAAATTCTGAGCTTGTGCTCGTCCGAAATTTCGAATAGCTTTTGACATCCTGTCGCAGGATATGATACGTTCAGCTGCAACAATTAAATGCACGATTAGGAAGAATGTATACAACACATTCACAATTTCAGAATTGAGGTTAAGTTTAGATTGTGATACAAAAGAGTACAATAGCTGTATAAAATAATTTTCCAATAAAATATTCAATTCATGAATTAAATGTTAGAAGGATTATGGTCATGTTATAATTGCAATTTAACGTTATTACGCTACATTTAGCGTAGAATGACTTTGTGCTTCACCTGCTATCACTTGACACAGACGCCACTTGTGATTGGCAATATATGTAAATAAACATAATTTTATGAGATATGTGAATATCGCGGTACCTGTGATGCATCATTGCATCAAAGAAAATCCAAATTATATATGAAAAATGCGAGATTCCTAAATTATTCGCAGATTCTTACCTTCATCGCGACGAGACTTAAACAGTGCCACACGCCATGAACAAGAAAGAGCGAAACGTGCTGCCCAGTGCTGCCACTACTGGTATTGCCGGGTTAAGGTATATTCAAACAACTTGCACATATGCATAAGGAATTGGGTTGGTTCATAAAAAGAAGCATAAGGAAATGAACCAATCCAATTCCTTATGCATATCTTACTATACTATGCAAGTACATGCATTAGAATATACCTTTAGGTTGGATTTTTCGCGCATGTGCAGCTATATTTACCGGATATTTGCCTTAAAGAAGTGAGAAAGCTTGAATTAAATGAAACAATTTTTGCGAAGTATATCTGTGGTGTTGAAAGATCAACGGTTGGAAATTATGATACAATGGTATTAATTTTCTTAGCATTTCTTAGATTAATTATGTTACGTATGTAACTTTATTTGTTGTTTTATCTTATTGACAATCGTAGTTTCATTATTATAACCTTATTTTTCAATTAAAATAATTTTTAAAGATAATTAAATTTAAATTATTTAATGATTGCTGATTGAAATATGTCTTATCTCTTTTTATCAACAAGAAATCAGTGTATATAAAAATATATACACATGCGTGCACAATCTCTTTCTCTCTTCCTCTTTTATCTCACTGAATTATCATGCTACTATCGGGTTTCTTTTGCATTATTTAAGTAAAAAATTATAATTAACATGTATTGTTTGCATTTTTTATTAGTTTTATTACAAAGTAGCAGTATTTATATACATAAAAATAGGAGGAAAAAAATGCCGATCGATAGCACGAGATGAGATCAGCGAAGGATCACCGGCTCGAGCGCCGCCGGCGGCGTGAAATTTGCGTCGCGCAGCATGAATTTTTCGGTCGAGCACTCGACGTGAATTTATCTTGCGCCGCGTAATGTAACAAAGTGCAGCCGCTGCCGCCGCCTTCGACGCGCGATAACTGTCACTATTGCTGCTATACACAGCGAGAAGGAAGAAAAAACGGGCAAAAGGCGGAACTCTCACAAGACAGTGTGGTGTCGGAGGGACGAGAGAGGGGAAGGAAAGAAACGTTGCGCTTCCGAAGGTGCCGACATCGCGTGGACGTGTGTGTGACACTCCGGTGAACGATAGAGAGGGATCGCCGGAGGATTTTCGTTATGTATCGATTTACCACGTAAATACGCTCTCCCTCTCGCAAGAACGACAAATGGAGCACGCGGAATGAGAGTCTGTGACACTGATTACAAGACAGGTAACGTCGCTTTCGCATACGTTTGTGTACGGTGCTGCATTTCGCTGCGCACTTCGCCTGTTCTCCCGCATGATATAGGTTAGAGAGGACGTCTCGTTACCGGAACGACAGCGACGACGACGACGGTAATTAATAAACGACGAGAAAAAAAATGATGTAACGAGGCACGCGCAATCATGCATAATCACGATATTCCGCGCGTCGCATTCGCATTGTCTATGTAAATTTGCGGCGAATTGATCATTCTGCAATCACATGGTCCGATTTTGATAGAAATTTCATCAGCAATCTGCGTGATCTAGTCAATTATATAGGTTTTTGCTCTTTGATCCCAAATACTTAAATTGAAAAACATGTGAAAAACGTATATTGTAGTATATTGTGGTGTTAGAAACCGAAGAAGGAGATTGATAAGATAGGAAAATTATGCTTTGTTGTACACTTTAGCATGATAGATGATTCACATATGTGTTGTTTAGCAAGAAGACATGGATGCTCGAGTGATAGAAGTTTTACAACAGGCGGTCAGCCAAGATCCCAATGTCTTAAAATCTGCGGAGCAAACGTTGAAGCAATGGGAGACTGAGCGTGGATTTTACATAGCACTATATGTAAGTAACTATATTGAGACTAAGGGTTTATTATCATTTCTTATAAGACAGAT